TCTCGAATTATCGCACAAACTTGGGTGTCCACGTTGCCTGTGACCTGACAACAATACCCCATCAGCCTTTTGCGGCCGAGGGGTAAAAAGTACAAGCTCACTTAGAGGACTTGGAGATAATCAGGCATTACTGTGGAAAAATGAATCCATAATTAAATCTTAAATCCCTAAAAATATGTCATCTAGATGAAAGAAAAGGATATAGACAATTAAAGCTTGCCTAAAGCAAAGTCTCTGAAGTACAACAAACATATAATGACTATATTACCCAGTGAGGCCGATGCACCATATAAGAGAGGTAACTTTAGGGAGTCCCAAACTGCAGACGGAGAGAGGAAACAAGAGAGTTGGTGTTATGTATAACAAAATAATGCACATATATCGTAGACTTTTATGTTTAAATGTGTAACTGTGTGTCTTTTGCACCACACCTGCAAATTTGACAGCGAGGAAGACTTTGGATGATGTCAGCTCTTGAGCTTCTGTCCAGGCTCCCGTTGAGGCCGACAGGTACCAGGGAGTGACGGAGCAGAAATACTCCCCGCTGTCACTGGAAACCACAGAGGAAGTTGTGATGACGGTCATGGTGTTTGTGCGAGTCTCAGCCAAAAAGGGATTAAACAGACAAATCATTCGTTTGCACCTCACCTGTCCTGAGTGCCAAATATGTTGAGCAGGTAGGTGTGTGTGTCTTTGCGCTCTATTGTAACGTCGCTGGATGAATTGCGGTTGATTTTTCTCACAACGCCAAAGCGGTCAACGCTGGCCACCTGGACCGCCGCGGGACCGCCGCGCAGCCGGGTGAAAAACCATTTCACCTCGTACGCCAGGTCGTCTGAGAGACACACAGAGACAAGTTTAGGTGAAGCTGTGATGGACTTTTAAGATGTTTAGAGTGGTGATGATTTTAACTAATAGACATCATTATATATGTTTTTTAGTATCTAAATCGTCTTGATGCAGTCTTAATCATCCAAGTAAATCCCAAAAGGTTGATTCTGTTCATCTGGACGCAGCGTTTTCAGAAAAAGCTGCGTCCAGATGAACAGAATCAACCTTTTGGGATTGTAAATAGCTGAAGATACAAAATACAAACTTAAAGATAAAACCAGGTTCAAAGATCTTCATTTTCTGGCATATTAGATCCAAAAGTTCTGTGCATTAGATTCAACCCCCCCACCTGTGTGTAAATATATTCAAAATACAGACAGAAGAAAATATACAAATTAGATATTAACTAATCATTCATACATATATTATGAATGTGCAGTGCATCCATTGGACATACATATATATGTCCAATGGGAAATTAATAGTCAAATAAAAACCAAATGTGTTTTTTAACCATTTTATTTCCATGAAACTTGAAGGAGATAATGTGGAAATAAATATGCTTTTGCCTGTAGTTTCTGACATTCAATAACTGCACTATTGGCTCAGTGTTGAAGCTCTGAACACCTTTAAAAACACTTTTTTTAACCTATGCTGAAATTTGTGTAACTCGTTTGGTCTGTTTAGACACAGCTGGACTGCCAAACAAGGCTAAACCCACTATGGACACAGTGTTATGGCCCTAGCAGGGCCTCCTCCTGAAGGTGCCTGTGTGGGCGTGTCCCACCACCTCTTCTGCCTGAGGTGCCACCTTTCCCTTTTGTGCAGCTGACTCTCGTCAGTAATCAAGGAGATTTAAGCCCAGGGAAAGGTGAGCTCTGGGCCAGAGAGCCATTAGTGTGTTTGCAGCTAGTGAGCTGCTCTCTTTCTTTTTGACGTACTTTTTACTTTATTGACCACCGCTTGAGTTGTGTTTGTTTTGCTTAAAGTTGAGCTACTTTAATAAAACTATTTAATTTAACCCTTTTGCCCCCTTGACTCTTTTTCCTGACCCGGACACTTTTTGTTACTTCCCCCCTCATCGCCTGGACCCTTTTAGGGGAACGTAACACACACTTTGTACAACCTGAAACACAGATCAGTATTATACAGTTTTCTTTGGTGGTAATGTTTCAGTGAGTACTTCCATTCAATACAAAACTGAGCGTTTCTTTAACAATATCCGCACGTCGTGTTAATGTGCTTACACCAACCAATCCCATCGTCTCTCAAATACCTTCAACCTCAACTTTACAAACTACAAAAGAAAGCTCAAAGGCAAAATACTGAATGTGCCAGTTAATAAAGAACATTAGAAGTACCATTAAAAGATAGCGTAACTGCAGCGATGTGACATATTTGAAGCCAGTAAGAGATCAAGCGTAAACCAACGAGCTGTTTAGGAGAACAAAGTCACTTTATTTGACAGAAGAGTTTGAGAAGACACGACAGCTGAAGTGTGTGTTACTGCCGCTGATCACGACACCCCAGCTCAGTTTTCAGTATTTCTTTAAGCCTTTAAGTCACTAACACTGGCTAACATCGACTTTAACCAGCCTAACACTTACAGAGAAGCGCTACTGTACCCACTTCATTGTAGAAACTGAGTGTTTTTTGAGGTCCAGCGCAGCCCTAATTTCACTACGATAACAAACAGAAGAGAGGAGGAAATCTAGAAAGCAGAACAAATCCATTATCACCACATTATAAACGCCGGCGTTCCTTTTCCCACATTAAGATAAAAAGACAGGGAGACGGACACGCATCATAAAAGGGCGACAGCGATGACAAAAGAAATAAAAACGGGGACGAGAGTTTGATAGAATTCGTGATAATAGATGCAATCTTTGGAAAAGGGGGCGAGCGAGCTAATTATTTCAGAGAGAGCGAGAGAGGGAGAGGGGGAGAGAAGGGGAGAGAGAGCGAGCGTGAGAGACAGAAGCACAAACTAGTCATTAGTCTGTCAGAGAGAGAGAGAGAGCGAGACTATTAGCACTCTACCTCCCACACACACACACACACACACACACACACTGAAGCACAATAAAAACCCCATGGAGTCTTAGTCATCCTCTGTCATTTAGGAGACAAATAGAGGATATAGATGAAAAAATAAAAGGAACATTTGCAGGGTAAAAAAAAGAAAAAAGAAAGAAAAAGATAAATGATGATGAAAAACAATTATGAAAAAAAGAGTGAAAGAAACAGACATGGGGAGGAAGAAAGAGGTGGGGAGAATGGATGGAGCGAATATAATGAAGAGAAAAAAAACCGAGAAGAGGAGTGAACTCAGCCAGAGCAGAGAAATGAATCACATCTCAATCCTCTCTCCCTCTCTTCCCTAATGGCTTTAATATTCAAGTGCTACATCATTAAAAATCAGTAGTAGCGTGAGCAGCAGCGGCGATAGTAATAACACCGACCTTGGTTTCAAGTTTAGTGCCCCCAGGTCTCAATATTGGTCATCACCTGAAAACTGTTTGCACTCCTGTGTGTGACACTAGGCTGAAATTTCATTAAGTTTTGCTGTAGATAGTCAAGGTTTTGTGTGACTGAACGCCACACCAGAAGACGACCAGAGAGACCCCCAAAAAGTACAGTATGTACAGTACAGCAAGACCAGAACATTTCAAAAATAATCTCGATTTATCAGGAAATCTCATCACCCCTTCCAATAAACCACTTTTTGAAATTAACCTCCTAGGACCTGCGTCCACATATGTGGACATCACATTTTGGGTTATTTAGACCAAAATACTCAATTTTAAACGAATATCCTCATATGTGGCTCTGATTTTTCATAAAAAGAAAAATAAGGTAAAAATAAAAATCTGGTAATTCTTTGTTTTTACATTCATCAGGCCCCAATCAGCCCAAATATCAAAGAGAAATTAAAAATGCATGCCGTGGAAGAGTTTGGGTCTTAGGAGGTTAAAGCAGCATTCAAAGACGAGCCCTAAAGCGTGTACCTTTTTCTTTCGAAGTTTTAGCTCCACTGACGTCAAAATGTCACCTTATCCCACACGTAGTCAGACTGATGTAAAGTTTTTGAGGCAAATGCTGCCGTTTATATTTTCATTAAAACATTTCTGACCATGTTCTGAAGAGCGGTCAGTGCGGAAGAGACTAAAACCTGGATTCTTACTAATAACCATCATCCCAGGAGTGGATGTCCTGCAAACTCCCATCAAGGTCAGACAGTGCGATGCACAGGGAAACTTCAAACATCCCAACAGCAACATCTCAGACTCTACAGACCTCAGTATGTTAAACGGCAAAGTTGTTGACGATACAATTAGAAGAAAGCTGAAAAAGTATGTGTTTGTTAAAATGTAACAAAGTGTAGCAACCTACGGAAATCATTCTTTAGATAGAAACGTGGAGATGCTTGGACATATACACCAACACCTCATACTAACTGCCGGGCACGGTGGTGGAGGCGCGATGGTTTGGGCTTGTTCTGCACACCCTGCAGTCATTGTGTCGACCATGATTTCCTCTATATGTCAAAGTAGTCTACAATCAAATGTGAGGCCACCTGTCTGACAGCTAAAGCTTGGCTTAAACTGATCGTGCAGCAGGTAAATGAAGTCCAGCAACA